AAACTTAATTTTCATGTGATATTAATGATGTTATTTGATAGTGTCTATATTCTGTTGTACCACTTTTCTTTGGAATGGGCACAAAGATGGATCTATTCCAGTCAGTTGGCCAAGTAACTGTCTTCTATAATTCTGGGCATAGATGAATGAGTTCTTCCAGTGTTGATTGCATCATTTGTTGAAACACATCAATAGATCACAAGGGATATGATCATAATCATCATAAATGCACTGTGTCTATATTCTGAAGTTACCTGACCAGAAGAACGGAGTTCTCATCTTAATTGTCACATGTCTCAGAACAGAAAAGCCAGATGCTACCAGTACCTTTCTTAAGAATGTGGGTGGGGCAGGCATCCACTTAGTATTTGGGACTACTTTCTTCTATGAAATTGGCATTCTATGATGCTCACCTTCCCGACACAACCACTGAAGACAAAGCGGGTAAATAAGCAAAAGTGATGAAGAAAGCTGATGGTGCCCGGCTATCAAAAGATATAGCGTCTGGGGTCTTAAAAGCTTGAAGGTAAACAAGCGGCCATCTAGCTCAGAAGCAACAAAGCCCACATGGAAGAACATATCAGCCTGTGTGATCACGAGGTGTCAAACAGATCACTGAAGACAAATGGGTGCATAAGCAAATGTGGCGAAGAAAGCTAATGGTGCCCGGCTATCAAAAGGTATAGCGTCTGGGGTCTTAAAAGCTTGAAGGTAAACAAGCGGCCATCTAGCTCAGAAGCAACAAAGCCCACATGGAAGAAGCACAGCAGCCTATGCAACCACGAGGTGTCAAAGGGATCAGGTGTAAGGCATCATCAGAACAAAAAATCTTACCATAGTGAATGATGGGGTGAGTGCGGAGTGAAGACCCAAAGCCCATTAGTAGGCCACTGGAGATCCCCTTGCAGAGGGGTCTGGGGGAGGAGACGATCCAGTCAGGGTGTGATGTAGCAACAATGAAAAAGACAACTTTCCTCTAGTTCCTAAATGTTTCCTCGCTGTTCCCACTATCATGACACAAATTCTACCTTGCAAGTCTGGCTAGACCAGAGGATGTACACTGGTACAGATAGGAACTGGAAATCCAGGGAATCCAGGGCGGATGATCCCTACAGGACCAGTGGTGTGAGTGGCGATTCTGGGAGGGTAGAGGGAGAGTGGGTTGGAAAGAGGGAACCGATTATAAGGAACTATATGTGACCTTCTTCCTGGGGGACGGACAACAGAAAAGTGGGTGAAGGGAGACGTCAGACAAGGCAAGATATGACAAAATAATAATTTATAAATTATCAAGGGCTCATGAGGGAGCATGGAGCGGGGAGGGAGGGGAAAAATGAGGACCTGATGCCGAGGGCTTGAGTGGAGAGCAAATGTTTTGAGAATGATGAGGGAAATGAATGTACAAATGCGCTTTACACGGTTGATGTATGTATGGATTGGGATAAGAGTTTGTATGAGCCCCTAATAAATGATTTAAAAAAAAAAGAGTGTGAGTGTTGTGATAAGAGTTGTATGAGCCCCCAATAAAATGATGGGCAAAAAAGAATGCGAGTGTAGTTTGTGCCTCCATGGTCATAACCCAGGAAGTAGACTGGCAATTTGGTGGTGAACCCACAAGCCATGAGCAGACCCACCAGTCCTGCCCAAGACTTCCTGGAAACACCCATCTTACCAAAGCTGTTGCCAAAAGTAGAGCCCACAACTTCCACTGAACTCTATCCCAGTCTGCCCAGGCCAGACTGCTTTGGGGTGCATAGTGTTTTGTCACTTCGTTTTTGCTTTTAATTCATTTAATGGATAATTTCTGATAGAAAGTTATCACAAAAATATCTAGTTTTCTACCCGTTCCTAAAAATCAGAAGATCTGACCACATCAAGCCATATAACAGCAGTCAGCTGAGTGGAGTTAGGGCCCTCTTTTGGACAGGATACAGCGTGGCATGGTCTCTCAGAAACCCAGACTGACATATTATGAGCTCTGCTGATTTTCTAATAACAGAGTCATTCGGAAAGTGTTTCCATCAAAAGAGTGAAGCATTTCTCCTCGTTTTGTTAGCTCTCCTCTCTTTCTCCCATCATTTTCTGGAGAGTTCCCTGGCAGAAAGTCCTTCCTGGTGACTCTTTGTGTGACTTGTCCCACCAGGGCTACCTTGCTCCAGTAGTTCATTCTGCCTGCAGTTACCAAAGACCTTTTCCCCAGCAGTTGGGGTGGGAGGTAGGGAAGAGTGGTCCTTGCAGAGGGGAAGTTCATTTCAGACCTAACTCTTGGAACCCATGAAATATATCCATCTTGACTGACATTTTGAAAACCTGCTTCCAGACCATCTCTCTCTCTTTGTCTTCCCTTTAAATAAGCATCAACTGTGTGCAAAGGTCTAAAAGATCCCATGTCACTAAAGATGTCAAAGCCTCAGCTTCTGCAAATTCTGGGGCAGAAGCAGCATCCATGAGTCCCACTAATGGGTCCAAATCTCGGTCCAATCTGGCTCTAGGACAGTGACCTCAGACTGCCTCAGCACAGTGTTCGGAGTATGAAAAACCCAAACCCAACCCATTGCTGTTGCGTAGACTCCAGAGGCTGTACATCTTAGGCTGCCTCATCTTTCTCCCACGGAGCGGCTGGTGAGTTCAAATTGTCAGCCTTTTACTTAGCAGCCCCATGCTAATCCACTGTGGCCCCGATATATTTATGCTACTCAACCTTCATTCTGTGACAGTCACTGGCTTGCCTCTGATCACCAAGGCGTACAGGTCCCCCGTCTAGGTTCCTACCCTCCTCCTCTCGCTCAAACACGTTCATTGCCTTTGGCCCCATAGCTAAGCCTCTGGGATCAGGAGCTAATGACTTTGAGCTTTGCAGTGTTGAGAAATGTTTGCCTATGGAAACCTCCCTTTGCCCTTCTCTCGGAACCTTCACTGTGTTCCACAAAGGCCGGTTTCCAGGCCAGCTGGAAGACAGAGCAAGCAGATCTTCTTTTTCTGTTGCTTATTCCATCGGGCTTCTTGAAGAGAACTGGTTTCCCTCTGGCACCAAAGACAAGCTGACACCCTGCGGTCACAGGCAGGCCCCAAGACAGCAGTTGGTGGTGGTGGCCATTGAGTTGGCTGGACTCAAGATGGCCTTATGTATAACAGGACAAAGCATTGTGATCTTCATGGACACTGGTACGTTTGAGCCCATTGTGTCTGCTATTGTGCCAAAGCAATACAGGAGCAGGGTTAGGAAATCATGTCCCTCCAGTCTGCCAGGGTCTCCCATGGTGGCGAGGGGAAAGGGAGTAGGATGGGGGTAGGGGGGGGCCCCCGGTTCCCCTTGTTTCCCGGGTTGGGGGGTTTTTCAAGGGGCCCGGTTGTTGGAGGGTTCCTTCCGACTTGCCGTTGGGGGGGGTTCCCCCCGTTCCCGGCCGGGTTGGCCTTGTTCCGGGCTTCCCGGCCCGGTTGAGGCGGCCCGGTTGTTCTTCGTTGGGTTGGGTTCAACCCCCAGGTTCTTGGGTTGGTTTTTTGAGGCCCCCTTTCTTTTCCCTTTGGTTCCTTTGCCCTCCCATTCTTTTCGTCCTCCTTTGTCTAAACCACTTCCAGCAAAAGACATGGAAGATCCTTTCCCTCAAGCCCTCACTGGCACCAAGTCAATCCCTACTCATGCCAACCCTACAGGACAAAGTAGAAGCGCCCCTGTGGGTTTCTACGGCTGTAATTCCCCCACCCCCCACCCCCCAAGGCTGAAAATCTTTCCAAGAACAGATGACCTCATCTTTAGCCTTTCAAGGCGCTGGTGGATTCCAATGGTGGACATTGCAGTTAGCAGCCCAGTGACACCAGGACTCCTTGGCCCATTCCCAGACAGGAGAAGTTGGGAGCATGGCTGATGATGCAGGAGTAGCCCTGTGTCACAGCAGGAAATGAAGCTCTAACTGGGATTCCAGGAAGGGTGACAAGCGGAACAGCCCCTCCTTGCCTCGGTCGTTTTGGAATAAGACAGATGTGGATTTGAGTCCCATGAAGCCCAGACCCAGTTTCACAGGGATCGAACAGTGTCTTCACCATGCTTGGTTTAAGCCTAAGAGTCCTGCTATGGTGTTGAGTCTGTTGTGCACTGGGTGAAGGGGTACAGAGCAAAGCCGTTTCCCTTCCGTCAAGGCACACACTTTCTGTTTCAGGTCACCGATTGCAATCCCCACCGCTTGTCCTCCTTCCCGCCTGTGTTAATTCTCCATCACTGTTTAATAAGGTGTCTTTGCATTTGCATTTTGCACACCATCACACAAATTATGCAGCTGGGCCTCACTCATCTCTGATGGGTTACATGTCCTGGAGTAAATAACTTGGTTTCTAGGAGTCTCAGCTTTCTCATATGTAGACCTGAGAAGGCAATCGTACCTACCTTGTTGAATGATGGGAAATTGATCAAGGGAACATAAGCAGGGCTCTCGGGCAGTGGTTCTCAAACTTCCTCATGCCGTGACCCTTTCATACCGTTTCTCATGTTATGGTGACCCCCCAACCATAAAAATTATTTTCGTTGTTATTTCATAACTGTCATTTTGCTACTGTTACAAATTAGGGCGACCCTGTGAAAGGGTCGTTTGACCCTCAAAGGGGTCGCGACCCACAGGTTGAGAACCACTGCTCTAGGGAGCCCTGGTGGCGTGGCGGGTTACACATTGGGCTGTTCGTGGCAAGGTCAACAGTTCGGACCTACATACAGCCCTGCAGGAAAAAGATGAGGCTTTCTACTCCTGTAGAGAAACCGATGTGGGATACCCTGTCCTATAGGGTTGCTATGAATTGGAATTGACTGGATGACAGTTGAGCCTGCAGAGTCCTTAGCAGGGCACTAGGCACATCGTCCATCCTTGCCTGGAAGTAGCTACTACTGTAGATGAAGTCCTGATCACTACCGACTGATGTGACAATACAGACGTCTAGCTCAATCAAAAGGGTGCTAACAACCACATCTCAGACTGGGCAAACAAGGCCCCCGACACCAGGCCCCTTCTTACCTTCTCGAAATGGCTGTGTTTGCATCTGCAGCCGGATCTTGATGAGGTCCACAGGCCCGCCCAGCCCAACGGAGACCACGCCGGCCACCATGCTGGCCAGGATCAGGTCAGACAGAGTGCGGGTCGGGCTGGCCTCGAGCTCCTTGCAGCGGTGCTGGCTGAGGAAGCGCTGCGTGTTACTGAAGACCCCAAACACCACGGCGTTGTAGACGGCAATGCTGGCCAGGGGGAAGGACATGCCCTTGAAGAAGCCGAACACCTGCGAGAAGCCCAGTGGGAAGAAGTGTGAGTATTCGAGGATGGGGCGGGCCAGCTAGGGGCTCCCCTGGGTTTTCTCACACTCTGCTGGGGCACCCAGCCCAGATCCTGCCATGTGGAGCCTACAGGCTGTTAAGGGACCACCCACACTGACACGAACTAGGAGAGGATGCTGCTGTGATGCGAGGGGCAGGGCAGGAATCAGGGGAGCAGGGCTCTTGTGGCCGGTTGGAGTGTGTTCCCTCAAAAGCGGCCAGGTGAAGATGGAGGGTGAAGGGTTGCAGCCTCCAGCCAGAGAGCGTCCAGGTGTGCTGACTTCTGGTAGGAAGACATCAGGACTCCCCCTCCAGAGCCTTCCAAGGGAGAATGGCCCTGCTGACACCTTGGCTTTGCACTCTGACCCCCCAGAACGGACAGGCTCAGCTGCTATTTCGCGGCTGTACGCCAGCTCTTGGTGGTGGTAGCTGCTACCCGGTGGATTGCGATTCACGGCACCCCAAGTGTGTCCGAGGGAAACGTCCCCGTTGGGTTTTCAAGGCTTTCTGGCACCCTTGGGAGGCAGATCACCAGACCTGTCTTCCGAGAGGCCTCTTGTGGGTGTGAAATGGCAGCCTTTCCAGCACCAGTCCCATGGGGGGTGGGGGGGGGCACATGGCATGCCTCATGGTCTGTGATCAGCTCTCTGGCTGCCCTGGGAATCTGGCCAAGGCTGGTCTCGCCTCAGTGGCGGGGCCTTCTCTCCACCCCACTCCCCACCCAAGGAACCGGCTCTGTGGGGGTTGTAGCTCCTGGCAGGGCAGTCACGACAGGAGCCCTGGTTTGTCACTGAAGGACAGGGTCCTTGGCTGCAGAGGAACCCATGGAGGCCCAACCACAGCAGTGGGCCAGCCACACCCCTCGCGCTCCATCCCCATTTGTCTCTCAAACAAAAGCTTGTTCCGGGAGCCTGCCATGTGGCAGACGTGGAGGAACAAAAATAAAGAAAGAGTCTCACCCTTCCCCCTGCCCCCAAGAGATGAGAACATGGGTGCTGTGGCGGCGGTGGGGACCCACGCCAAAGAAGTGATTATCAGACACTGCATATGCCTGAGCTGGGAGAAGGCAAGGCCCCTGGGCCAGCCTGCAGGTAGGGCCTCTGAGTCTGGTGTCTCCTGGCCTCAGTGCCTGGGGAGGGGAGCTCCAGACGGTCAGCAGGAAGAGGCGCATGCACCCACGGAGCACTGGAGGGTCGGCCAGGGTCCCTTGATACTGCCTTCTCCGTGCACCCCACAGGCATGCTGGACACTGGAAAATTCCACTGGCCCCTGCAGGAGTTCAGGACAGCACACACGTTCTGTCCCCGTGCCAGGCATTGTATACACTCCAGACAGCGCCGGCTGCTGATCCTGACCTGCTGCATGGGCTGTGACCCTGCTGACCTGGGGCAGAAACACACACACACACACACACACACACACACACACACACACACACACAGTCAAAGCTTCAGGGTCTTCCTCTATCACAGAGCCCAGCAGATAACTTGGGCCATGGTGTAGCCCTGAGCAGCTGTCTCTCAGAGCAGTGCCAGTCCTCAGGGAGCCCCGGGGGCGTAGCTAGCCCTGCTGGGACACTCCCCAAAGGGCTTTGAAGGCTGCCTTTCAGAGAACCGAGTCCCATAGTGTCTCCACAGGGAACAGCAAGTCCTAAACTTGCAGCCCTCCCCTTGGCCTTGAAAGCAGGTGACCAGGTGGGTGGATTCCCACAGCACGCCAAAGCAAGTCATGCTGCTGTTCGGGCACGGCAGGGGCTGCCAACCTCTGAAGGGAACCTGCGGAGACCCTGCTAACAGTGGGGCCACATTCCTAATGACTCTCAGGAGAGCCAGCCTCCAAGAGGCTGGCCATTTAGTAAAACCATCAGGTTGTGTTATCGGAAGTTTCCATCATGTATGTAAATTCCCAGAAGGGAGTCTTCAGAAAGCCTTCCTGAAACACACACTCATTCTCGCAGCAAACCCATCACCAGCGGCCATCGAAAGGATTCCGACCACGGGAGCCTGTGTGTGTGCCTGAGAGCCTGTGCTCAATCCCCAGGTCAACGTCTGCATTCTCAGAAGGAGGCAGCCAGGCCTTTCATGCGAGGTGCCTCTGGGTGGACTCTGGATCCTTTGACTAACGATTTACATGCCCCTACCCCCTGGGACTCCTATGAAATGTCCTCGCGTCCTCTCCACCCCCCTTTAGAGAAAAGGAGCCTTGGCCCCCTGGCCACCTGTGGAATAAGCCAGCTGTCCAGGTGGCACCTGGCTGGGAAGTGCTGGTGCCCACCGGCCCACCAGCCCAGACAGAGGGAAGCCTGTGAGTACAGGGTTTACCAGCCAGCCACTCATTCTGTTTTGAAAAACAGACAGGTGACCCTGTTTTTGTAGAACTTTTCCGTACTGTGGTTCTAAATTCCTCAGAACGTTGCCCAAAAGGTTGCATAAAAAAGCCATTTGTCCCCCCACCCTCCCTCCCACCCCCCCACCCCCAATAGCACTGCCCTAGATGACAGAGATGTTCAGGTGTCTGCAAGGGAGGAGAGCAGACTTCCTGCCAACATGCTAATGCGACAATTAGGATCTCCTCCCCAGGCCTGGCCTCTGGCTGTCTGCAGGGTGTGGGTGTGGGTGGGGTGGGTGGGTATGGGGGTGCTCAGTGATGCCACTCGCTCCCACCCAGGGACACTTACACTCTCCCTCCTGTACACCATGCGGATGCAGCTCAACGTGTTCCCGTAGCCCACGCCGGCCTGCAGGCGAGTCTGCGGAGAGAGGCAAGAGTGGGGAGGCTAAGTCAAGACCATTTCCTAGACCACACTGGGCTTCAAGCCAGGCTCATTCTGGCTTGGAGGCCCAGAGGGAAAGGCCCTGGGAAGGCCGTGCGGCCAGTAAGGGGGCGGGTTTCCTTTCTGGCCTTCTGTCCCTGGCTGGTCCAGCCTCCCAGGACCCACCCACACACTGCAGAAGCTGTCATTGTCTGAGAGAAGACCAAGAGTCAGTTAGTGATGTGGGGTGGTTGAGGATATGCTATGGGGTCCTCTAAGAATAAAACGCTGAGCCACAGCTGGACCAGGGCACCCATGGTCCCATCTGCTGTCCATCACTACCTTCCTGATTGTGCCCAGGACCATCCTGTCCCCACTCCACCCCAACTCCCCCTCCTTGTCCCTGACCACCCTCATCTTGCACCTGGCTGGCCTGCTCCTCCCTTCCCCGGTACATTGTGCCTGCATACATGAGCCCCGCCTTTCCCAGACGGGACCGTTACCCCATCACTCCTGTTCAATGCCTTGTGGCCTCATGGCACACAGGGTTGGCAGCTACAACCTTGGTCACTGTAGAACTAGGTCACTCTTGGGGACAAAGATGAGGCTTCTGTTTCCGTGAAGATTTGCAGCCTTGGAAACCAACGGGAGGCTGCGGGGGTTCTGATTGATCCTATAGGGTGGTGATGAGCCAGAATTGTTCCAGGGCAGTGGACTTGGGGGAGTTTTTGAGTGGCCTCGTATTAACTTGAGAATACAGTCTCCATTCTGCCAGGGTCCCCAGGCCCCGCATGCCTTTTCCCTTCTCACCTGAGGTGCTGGCGCTGGGAAGCCCTTTCTTTGCAGCCTCCAGGCCTGTCACCTGGGTACCTCCTCCTGCAAGGCTCTCCCTCCAGTTCCCACTCATCTTCCAAGTCTGGGCTTACGAGCTGCCCCATGTGTGGGCCTCCTCCACTGGGCAAGACCCTCTGTCCGTTTCTTTAGCTCCTCAGGGCCCGGTCCGGCCCCTGCAGGCCTGCATGGTGGGCTCACCTGGTGGGCTGCGGGGTGAGGACTGGATGGGGAAGGGGCGGAGGCTGCTAACAGAGGCTGGCTACTACATCACGCCCACTAGAATTTTCCGCACTAAGACATTTTTAAAGGAAAAGAATGAGTGTGGGTGAGAATGTGGTAAAACTGGAATGTGGGGAGGTAAAGGGTGCTGCGTCTGTGGAAGATGGTTCGGCAGCTCCTCAAAAAGTCAAGCCCAAGTTTACCAAGTTGTTGTCTGTGCTCCCCAGTGGATTCCAACTCCCAGAATTGGCGAGCTAGATCTTTACAGGAGTGGACACCTGCTCTCTCCTTCCGTAGAGCCACTAGTGGGTTCAGACTGCTGCCTGTTCTTTTAACAGTGGAGTGCATAATCCCTGCACGACTCGGGAGCTTTAAAAAGGACCATAAGCCAAACCCCAAACCCATGGCCATCGGGTCAATGTGATGTCGCAATCCATTCCAAGATTGCACATTTCTACGAGAGCAGACAGCCTCATTTTCCTCCCCGGGAGCAGCTAGTGGGTTAGAACCTCCAACCTTGTGGGCAGCAGCCTAGCCCACAGCACCACCAAAACCTCACCATTATCAAGTTGAGAGTGGGACTGTCCATGGATCCACTGTGGATTTCTGAGACTCTTTACAGGAGTAGAAAGCCTTGTCTTTCTCCCTCAGAGCGACTGGTGGTTTCAAACCGCTGACCTTACAGTTACCAGACCAGAGAGTCACCACTACACCACCAGCCAGGGCTCCTTAGACATTACCAGTTGACCCAGCAAACCCATTCTAGTTCTGTACAAAAAAGTTGAAAGCAGGATCTCAGACCAGCAGGTGCTCTGTAGACTGATTCATGGCAATGCCTCGTGTACAGCATGATGCCAAATGAACGGGGTAGGAGATTTGCCCAGTTTAGGGATGAGGGAAATGAAGCTTGGGGATGTTAACTAAGCTGGTCTCGAGGCCACGGGCTACGAAGTAGGGCGGTTCAGAGGCTGGGCCTGGATGTCAGGTCAGTTGGACTTTGAAGTTCTGGTCCTCCCCTTTCTTAGTGAGCAGGGATCTAGGGAAATGTCAGCCAGGAGGAAGGAGGAAGGATGTTCCGGGAGTACCAGGGTCCTGGGCCACACTCCTGGCATCACCAGGCCAGAACCTCCAGCAGGGAGGCTTTCAGGATGAACAGAGACCAGATCTAGCATTCAGAGGGCTCAGCGGGCAGAGTGGAGAGAAGGAAAAGACTGGTTTTCTCAGATGGACACGTGGTCAGAACAGTTGGGGAGGGCGCTGGCCTCTGCCAAGCATTGCCAGCTTCCTGCCCAGGCTGGGTGTTAGGGTTGATATGCCAGCAAGGAGAGCTGAGGCTGCCTGCCGGTGTTAGAGGCACAGCTGGGGGCCCACAGCGGCATGAACTCGGCTTGCTCTGCACACCACGGATTCCTCAGCCTTCCACACCATGCCTGCCGCAGAGGGGACATCCAGCATGTGTCTGCCAGATGACGGAGAGAGAGGGCTTATATGAGAGGTGGAGTCTCTGAGTTAACACCAAAAGTTAACACCAGAAGTTCAAGGTACCTCATAAGAAAGGCCTGGCAATCTACTTTCCCAAAGATCAGCAACTGGAAACCCCAGAGTGCAGTTCTACTCTGGCATGCCTGGAGCCAACTCACCGGCAACTGGGCCTGGGATGAGGGGAGGACATACCCTTTCCTGACCTGCCATCAAAGCTGCTCTGCTGGTTCACGGGTTTCTAGAAAGGGCTGGGCAATCTGTGCCCTGCTCCCTCCCCCTCCCTCCTGGTATCTCTATTCCCACTCCTGTTCCTGGGTTCCATGTGTTGTGAGTTTTATCTCTTGCCTATACCTATGTACATGCTTCCGCTTAGTCTAGATTGGGAAGTGGCCAGGGGGAAGCATAACAGAAACCAGACAGGAAGGGAGACAGCAGTCAGTGTGAGATTTGAAGATAATGAGGTAGTTAGTTTATTGTGCCAACCTGGCCAATAAACACATGTAGGGTTAATTGAAGGGCAGAGGGATAAATGGCTCTGTGAGCCTCATCTTTCTAGCTCTCAGGTCTCTTGATTTCTGATGGTCGCACCAGGGTGCAGCTGCCTTAGCCAGTTCCCTGCTTCAGTTGGCAAGGCTTACTTCCTGCAAGACATCCCCAAAGAGAAGCCGCATGGACCAACCCCGATGCATCCCTGGGTGCTGGAGCACCCGTGTGGAGACCCCTGCCAACACTGAGATGCTTACACATTCACTGACTCGGCTTTCCTCCTGCAGTCGGCATCATTGCGTCTGCTTTGTGAGATGGAGGAGGACTTTGTAGATTCGTGTTGGACATATGGGTTAATGGATTAATGTTGGACTTGTGGGCTTGCGCAGCAATCGGTTGGGATGTTTTCTTGATGCACACTTAACCTTTATATAAAACTCACTCTTACACATGAGTTTCTGTGGATTTGTTTCTCTAAAGTACCCAGACTAATACAATTAACAATTTACAATCTATCAAGGGGCCACGAGGGTTGGGGGTGGGGGAGGAGGGAGTGAAAAAAGAGAAGCTGATCCCACGAGCTCAGTGGAAAGTAAATGTCTAGAAAAGAACAATGGAATATATGTAATAATATGTCAGATACAATTGATGTATGGATTGTAACAAGAGTTGTAAGAGTCCCCAATAAAATGATTATTCAAAAACAAAGAGCCGGGCAGCATGGGAGCTGGCCAGACCCTGTTCTGAAAGTGAAGAAAAGCCTCTTCTGCCTAATGCTATGAGAGTCCTTGTTTCGTCCTCACTACCACTGAGTCAGTGCTGACTCCCAGCCACCCCACTGTGCGTTTCCTAGACCGTTACTGCTGACGAGTGTAGAAAGCCAAGTCTTTCTCCCACGGAGCTGCTTGTGGTTTCGAACTGCCGACCATGTGGATCACAGTCCAGTGCATAACCACCACATCACCAGGGCTCCTTGTTATGATATTAGAGTCCCTCTTGTCTAGAATAATCTGTTTCAGATTCCAGGACAGGCTGACTCTACTTAGATGGTTAATTGAAAGGGGGTGGGGAGTGGGGAACAGGGACAAAGGGTGAGACACACACCCTTAAACCTGTTCCATAAACATCACTGCACTTGATAATCAGTCTCCCTCTCTTCAGAAGCCTCCTGCTGATTCCCTCGGGCACACCACACGGACGGAGCCCTGCTCCCAACGTCCAGCCTCCACTTTTCCTCTGAAGCAGGAAGAACTTAGAGGTGCCAGTTATGCACCCTCCAAAGTAAAAGCTTTGATTCTCCTGGCGTGAGTAGGAGCTCTGGTGGTGTAGTGGGTTGCATGTCAGGCTGCTAACCACAAGGTCTGCGGTTCCAACCCACCAACCACTCCTTGGACAAAAAGATGAGGCTTTCTACTCCCATAAAAAGTTATTGGCTCAGTACCACCCCAACCCCCGCCTCCAAGGGGCCATTCTACCCTGTCCAGCAGGGTCACTGTGAGTTGAAGTCAAATCATTCTGTTTTGATTGAACAGTGTTTGCCAAAAAGATGTAGCCAAGTCCCAACCCTCCCCCACTCCCACACACACCCTCACACCTGTGAGTGAGATACGGTCTCTGCAGCTAGGATGAGGTCAAGGGTTTCACGATGAGGTCACCTGCAGTTGGGGTGGGCCCTAATCCAACGATGACTGTTTTAGAAGAGAAAGAGCGATTTGGCAGAGAGACAGAGATGGACAGGCCAGAGAAAGCGATTTGGCAGAGATGCGATTTGGCAGAGACAGAGATGGAAAGGCCATGGTGAGGACGAGGGAGCAATTACAAGATGACTACAAGACAGGGAATGCCGGCCGCCACCAGAAGCTAGGCGGAGGCCTGGGGTAGGTTCTCCCTCCAGGAAGGGACACCTGGATTTGGGGGTTCTGGTCTTAGGAGCTGTGAGGGAACACACACATGCTATTTTAAGTCTCCGGGTTTGTGATAATTCAGTACCAAAATCCTCAGGCATAAATACAGAGGCGTCTTCAAAAGTTCATGGAAAAACAAAATGGAAAGACAATGGAACTTTCCCATGAACTTTTCAAAGTCCCACCTCACCCCCAATATGCCACACTCCATTTTGAACTACTAAATATATCACCCTTAATTCTACAATAATTTGCTACAGACTCAACTTTAGCAGGTCAGCTCAGTACTAGAAAAACAGCAGCCCTTCCAATGCGTGCTGTAACAGGCACGAGTGAGGGACAGGCAGCTCCTTGGGCAGCAAACTGCAGAAGTCACCCTGGATGGAGAAGGGCCACTGTCTGAGGGGGTCCTCATAGTTGTCCCTCCTCCAATCCCCCGTCCCCACCAGGAAATTTATGCATACCACATAAGCTGGATAATTTTAAACCCATTCTTCCAATCTGTTTAACATCCATCTAGATATTTTCACCCGATGTGATTACTAAGAGAGATAGAATTTACATAAAAGTCTGTTGCTAGAAACAGCAGTTACGACTCTTGAGAGTTAACTGAGTACTGGGAACAGCCCTCTAATCACAATCATAACTTTTCTCTGTCGGCAGGGATTAGCTTTCTGCTTAATGGAAGGCTGAGCAAGAAGGAAATGGCCCAAACAGGATTCAGATGCACAGCCTGGGTTACAGGGCCACTCAAAAAACCCCTTGCCTTTGGGTCCATTCTGACATGTTGAGGACAGAGTTGAAGTGTCCCACCGAGTTTCCAAGACTGCAAGAGCTTTGTGGAAGCAAGCTGCCACGTCTTTCTCGCTCAGAGCAGTCAGTGGTTCTACTCACTGACCGTCTGGTTAGGAGCTGAGCACTTTAGCAGTGTGCCAACCCACAGCGAGGCTCCCTGTGTGTCCCCCACAGTGTGGTTGGACTCATTTGTCAGGCGGGACAAACACGGAACAGGTTGGGTGAGTTTGAGCGAAGGAAGGAGGGGGCAGTCAGAAACAAGCTGTGTTCTCACAGGGACAGAGGGCTGTGTCCGATTCTTCCAAATCCCCTGTAAGGCCCAGTCTGGAGAGGGATGCAGTCTACCCTCTTACCCTGTACTAAGCCCTGGGACAGTCACTCACTCCGCACCTGCTCATGCAGCCCCTCTGCCGTGCCAGGCTGAGCGAAGCTGTGTTCAGCACAGGGATGAACCCGAACCTGCCAGCTGGGGATAGCCCAGCTCTCTGCTGACCAACTGGCCAGACGTTGTGGGGGATGGAGAAGACTCTGGGCATGTGAGGCTACCACAGAGGTATGGGGGCTTCCAAGAGCCTGAGCTGGCTGCAGGGAGCCCAGGAATGCCCAGCCAGACCCCTCCTCTGGGATCAGTGATGCAGCCTTCACAGGCTGCTCAGTCCACCTGAGGCAAAGCCAGAGCCTGCAGCAAGCCCTCCTCATTGGGCTCTGGGAGCAGAACCACGCCATGCAGGGCTGGCATATGACAGGCAGTGAGGGCCCAGCTCGCTCTGCCACCCCATTCTCCATAGCAGTGGTTCTCCACCTTCCTCATGCCTCAACCCTTTAATACAGTTCCTCGTGTTGTGGTGGACCCCCCCAACCATCACATTATTTTCATGAATACTTCTTAACTGTTATTTTACTACTGTTATGAATCACGTGACCCTGTGAAAGGGTCGTTTGACCCCCAAAGGGGTCACAACCCACAGGTTGAGAACCGCTGCTCCCTGGCTTTCTCCAGCACCTGCTCAAGACCACTTGTTCATCTCATTACTGACACACTGGCCTTCTTCATTTGCCTTGAGAACATGGATCAAGGCCTGCCCTTGCCTTAGTGCCCAGGGCAGAGCACAGGGTGGAAAAGGATTCCCAAAAGACAAGACCACTCCAGAGCCCAGTACCATCCACTGTGGCTGGGTAGTGAGGGGGCCCTAGGCCAACAGCAACATCATGACGCGCTCCTTCTTCTTCTTCTTCTTCAAAAAACTAGCTCTGCAAACATCAGACTCCACAGCCCTACCGACCTAAAGAGGTAGATGGTGCCCGGCTCCCTCGACCAACTGCTCTGAAAGGATAGCATTAGAAGACCGTGGCTCGAGCAGGAGAAAACCATGGGCACAGAAGGCAATATCATCCGAGAGTTCAGATTTGAGGGAGGTTAGTCTTGGGAAGTCCACACTTCTGTTCTGGAACTGAACTCACCCCTGCCCACCCCACACCCTCGAAGTAAGGATGACCAACCATTTAAGACTGAAAGGATGACATTTACCCCCGGGCAGAGGGCTAGGAAGGCAGGAGGATCAGAAACAGGGGCACTGGGAGGAAGTGGGCTACGTGATGGCCCATGGCGGGGCTTGATGGATGAGCTGAAACCAAACGTGCGTCAACTTTTGAATGCAAAACTGACGAGCTGCCCTGTAGACTTCCACCTTGATCACCAGAAAGAGTTAAGGAACTAAAAAACAGTGGGGAGAGAGTCACAAAAGTCAGTGGACAGGCCTGGACTTATGTATGCTTTTTTTGTTTTTTCTCTTCTTTTTTAAATCTCTTTTCATTCAATCTTTAGTTTTCTCTCTGTTATAGTTGGTTTGCCTACCTATATAAGATAGGCATGGGAACCGGGACTGACAGTTCTGGAGGGACTTGGCGGAGAAGGCAGCGGAGAAAAGGAGTGGTGAGCAAACAATGCCATAGACAGGGGAACAACTAGGGAATTAAAAGCAACAACGAGGAGGACGTAGTGATCCTGGGGGTGTTGGAACAACAGCAATCTAGCTGAGAGGAAGTACTAAGAGTCAGAAGAAGGGCAAGCATGATGGTGGGGCAGGAGGAAGATAAAGGGAAACAGAGGAAAGATCTAAGTAAAGCTATGGATAGAGGTATAAACATAAGTGTGTACATATGTAAATATATTTAAAATAGAGGTATGTCCTATGTATATATATTTACATGGCAATGCATTGAGGAAGTGGATGGACTTTGGGCCTCTGCTCAAACCCTCCCTCAATGCAAGAATGCTTTGTTCTAATAGCCTGGCATTCTGTGATGCTAACCCTCCTGACAATTGCTGAAGACAAAATGGGTTATACAAGCAAATGTGGTGAAGAAAGCTGATGGTGTCTGGCTATCAAAAGATATAGCATCTGGGGTCTTAAAGACTTGAAATTAAACAAGCGGCCATCTAGCTGAGAAGCAACAAGCCCACGTGGAAGCACACCAGCCTGTGGGCTCGTGAGGTGTCAACACAATCAGATAACAGGCACCAGAAGACTGAAAACAAACAAACAAACAAACAAACAAACAAACAAACAAACAAAACATAGTTAAGAATGAGGGAGGTCAGAGTAGAGACCCAAAACCCATTTATAGACAATAGGACAACCCTCACAGAAGGGTCACAAGGATGGGATGACTCTGCACCTCACTCTCCTCAGATGAAACCAGCCCAGGAGGGTGGGCACAAGCCTGCTGCACTCACCTCTGTGTGTTCCCAGTCCCCACCACTGCACCCTGCCCACCACCCTCTGGGACCCTGAATCCCCTGCTTACCCCTTCCTGGGGTTTAGACAAGGAGGCTGACCCCTGAGTCATGAAAAAAGCGGGCTGGACTCTGACTATGAGGGAGACAGGCAGAGTGGTCGGGACCCACAGAGCCACTGGAAGAGGACCTCAGAGGCTCCTTCTTCTGCACCTGCAGTCAACACTTGGGAACCGCCCTTGAAGTTGGGGTGGGGAGGAGGCATGTTTAAGGGCTCTGCTGTGCCTTGCTCACCAAATGGAACCGGCTTAGGGTAGGGCCATGTCAGAGAGGCCCCATGCCTCAGTGATTAAAATTGCGGTGTCTCATCCTTCCTGGACCCCAAGTCCCACATCTGCAGAACAAGGGGCATACGTGATCCCAATGCCAGGTGGCCCCATCAGCTCCAGAGTCCCTTTCTGAGTTGAAATGGCTTCCCATTCCCAACCCAAGTCCAAATGCCTAACCTGATGCCCAAGACCTCGGAGTACTGAGTCATGACCCACCACTTCCTGGCTTCTGCCCCACAGCTGATACCTGATACCTCCGTGGGACACTAAACTTCCGAGAACCTGGCCCTGCTGTCAGCATGGTGCCTACACTGCTTCCACCCCCATGACTTTGTCCCTGCTGCTCCCTGTGCCTGAGTCTCTCTTCTACCACCTGAAACCCAACCTGAACCTGTTGCCTCAATGTCACCTCACCTTGAAGCCTTTTGCAATTCCCTCAGCTCCATGGAGACTTAGAGGAGGCCCCTCGGCAGCCCCTGCCAATTCACAAGAATGTGAACATCCACAAAAGCCCACTCTAAACCCACCTGGTGGGACCCGGCCCTCCCCCGCTGGCTGCACAGTCTGTCTGCGCAGAAGGCCCTCTGGGAACCAGAAACAGAGGGTCCATTCCTGGGGGCAGCTCGGCCCTAGACACTTTCCTCTGAGGCGATGGAACGTGGGCTACCGTACCTTGACTGTGTCCAGAGGGTGGCCGACAATGACGCTGGCTGCACCTGTGGGTGGAAGAAGAGGAATTAGTCACTGGACTCCTGGTCTCGTGACTTCTCCCGGTGGGCACGTGGGGCAGGACTGAGGAGTGAGGAGCACCAGGCAGGCCCTCAGTCCCTCCATGGCCAGCTGCTGGGAAGCCTCAACCTGCTAGGTACTGGCCTACATACCAGGGCTGCAGCCTAGGTGACAGCAGTGCAGAAGAGAACCCAGAAGACCCGGGCCCCTGGCTCTGGAAGCAAGCAGCCCAAAGGAGAAGCCTGAAGAAAGGACTTAGATACGGTTCAGTTAGCTTCAGGTGACCGCATTGCTCGCAAAGCAGCCATTAGAACAGCGTCTGCCTCTAGGTCAGAGCAGAGCTTGAAGCCGTCAAATCAGCGCTCATGGAAGTAGCAGTCAAGAGATCAAAAGGCATCATTGCATTCGGTCAATCTGCTGCACAAGACCTCCTTAAAGTGTTGGAAAGCAAGGAGGCTACTTTGAGGACTAAGGGATGCCTGGCTCAAGCCCTGGTATTTTTAATGGCCTCCTGTGAATGTGAAAGTTGGACATTGAATAAGGAAGCCCAAAGAAGAATCGATGCCTTTGAATGATGTGCTGTGCTGGAGAAGAATATTGAAAATATTAAGGACTGCCAAAAGAACAAATCTGTCTTATAAAAAATACAGCCAGAATTCTCCTTAGAAGCAAGGATGGCGAGACGTCGTCTCATGTACTTTGGACATGTGGTCAGGAGAGAGCAGTCCCTGGAGAAGGCCATCGTGCTTGGGAAAGTGGAGGGGCAGCAGAACAGAGGAAGGCCCTCAGCAAGAGGGAGGGACACAGTGGCTGCCACAAGCGGCTCAATCCAAGAATAAGCGAGGAGGGCGCAGGACCAGGAGGTGCGTCGTTCGGTTGTGCACAGGGTCACTGTGAGCCGAACCACTCAACAGCACCCAACGTTTCCTCCTCTTGTACTCAGGTCCCTGTGGGTGAGAACTAACTTGAAGGCACAACAACCACAACCGTCTATGAGTTAACCTATCTGAGATTGGGAGATTCGAGAAGAAGATGAGATTGTCACATCAGTGATTTCCAGAGCTTGAGGCCTTGTACAAAGGTGAAATGCGTCATGCAAGGTCATTGAGCAAGAAAACAGCTGATATCTGCTCCTAAGAGTATAGATGAATGCAGGCCTGCGAGATGCTAGCTGCAGGCAAATCAGCGTATTTCC